TAGGAAGAAAATGAACTCTATCCCAGCCGAAACAAGGACACATCTCCAGTCTCATCTGCTCAGCACCTTCTATTTTGCCTGGGGGACTCTTCTGCTCTCCCTCCCAGGCTTCCAGTGGCTGTTAACAAGACAATCAGATCTTCATTGGTGGCGGCAGCAGACGAGGTTCCTGTGTTTTCTGCCACCCTGTTAGCCTGTGTTTCGTAATGTTGAGTAAAACGTCTGGTTCTCAGATTCTGCAAAATCTGAAAAAGTTTTCAGCTTCTATAGGGAGCCTGACTGTGCTTATCAGTCACCCCTTAACTGATAGCTTTGTCTGGAGTAGGAAAATACACTGGGCTTATCACACGCATCTGCTCAGTGTTTTGATAATGCCCTGGAGTTTACAGATAAGAAATCATACCTAACTGCTAACTACACAAGACTGCTAATACCATAAACATGTATCTTCCATTATCATGTAGATAACACATGTACATTAGCAAATAAAGATAATTCGAACAGTTTATCAGCACTGTTCCAGCTCACCTGGGCTCAAAAGACCACGCAGTTACAGGGTTGCCAGTTTACCCATCTCCTTTTGGAGCCCTCTGTGCCCCAAGGCAGTCACCAGCTGCTTCATGCCTTCAGCCATCTGTTCTGCCTGTGTGGGTCCAGCCAAAAGCATGCCTGACTTGCATTTTTAAAATTTTTTTTTCAATCAGCTAAATTCATTGCTTTGTCTCTGATACTCACACTTCCTTTAAGCATTTTTTCCCAGTGCCCCAGTGCAAATTGCTGAGCTGTCCTTTCTTTCACGTATGTACTGAAAGATTTCTTAGAATATTTACAGTTCAGAAACCTCTTCAGCAAAGACTTAGTGTATGGAATGTGAGCCCTTCTGGGGTGAAAGAAGCTGGAAGTGGCGCTGTAAGCACAGCTAGAAATGAGCCTCGGAAAGGAGGTGGATTTGTCTCTAGAAACTCCCTGGGAAATTTTTAGCACAGTAGAGTAAAAGAGACTTTGAATATGTGCATTTTCTCTACTTCAAGCAAAAGAAAAGGAGAGGAAAAAAGAGGGAAA